GTACAGCGGTACGGGCGCAGCAAAGATAAAAACATGTGACGTCACGTCACCACTTCGATGTTATGTTGTTTGAAACAATTTAGCGTTGGCGCCTGATTTCGCACCTCTTTCTTGTTGGGAACGCGCAGTCAAATGGGAGGAACTAGAGTTTATTTTGCCATAAGGTAGTATGATTATGCATGACACGAAGTATTTGCTAGTCTAGTACTGAAGAAATTAGCGTTTGGATGCGCATTGTGCGGCTTTAACCTTTGATGACTTCGTGGAGCTTTGCCAAAAATCCTCCAAAACAATAACGCCCTTTCTTTTGGAGTACATGGATTTCTATGAATTCAGCAGGGAACAACGTGCCCGTAGTGGGAAGAAGACAAAGATGACGCTGTTGGGGAAGGTATATGAGGTCAAATTATCCAAGGGTAGGCGTACAATGATGTACAAGGAGGACTTCGATGACCCATACAAGTTGACTTCCTGAAGGCGAAGTTTGATTTCCATCCAAAAGGGCAGAACCACGTGGCATTCCCAAATCCAAGAAGACGGGAATACTCAATTTGTTACGTGTTGCCCCCGCCGTAAAGAAACTCTTCTGGTTGGACATACCTGAGAGAGACGTCAGTAACCTGGAAAATTCCATACCTAAAATAGCAATTAATTGACCTCACAAACTAGTCCGGGCACAGGCATCCTGTGGGGTTTATAAACCACTTGACCACTTTTCAACTATTGTAGATTTCAAAACTGTTACTATTACATGCGTTGTTCATTGATTCTGTAGTAATAAAGTATGGCCTAGTAAGAAAGTTAAACATTAAATCATGATTATATGTCATTAAATTTGATTGTACTAGATACAGGGCTAGTACTTCGGTCATTTACTTCAAACAACACTCCAATTTATGAGACAAGTGCATTTTCTTGCAGGTCTCAATGCCTTATTAAAGCTATGTCATATTTCCCTGCCATTTGTACACACATTTATTGGAAAATAAATGAGTAATTTTCATACTACGTTTTGCCTTGGTAATATATATGATGTTCTTTAGCATTTGCTATACCAAAACCTAGTAACTCATTTTCCCGCCAAAATAATGATAATTAAATCCGATTAATTATTGGTGAGAATTGTGAACCTTAGTGGATATATATTAAGCAGTTAGTACATCTCCATGAATAGAATAGATTTTAATATTCACAAATTACGTTTTCTTTTGTTTTCTCAAAACAAGCAAAAAGTGAGTTACTAGGTTCTGGCTTTGCACGGGAGAGATGTGCAGAGCCAGCTACACGGCAAGAAGCTGTTCAGTGTAGTGGACATGAAAAACGGCATGAAAAACTGGCATGTGAGACTGACTGAAGAGTCATTTTACCTGTGTACATTCCATACTCCCTGGGGGAAAAAGTGGTTCTTTCGCAAGCCTTTTGGCATCATCTCTGCCAGTGAAGTGATGAAAAAGCGAAATGAAGAATCATTTGGAGACATTAATGGCGTGCATATCATAGCAGACAATAGCGGCAACAGATGAAGCTGAACATGGCGCCATACTACACAAGGTGAGGCAGGGGGCTCACGAGAAGAACGTCAGGTTCAACAAGGCTAAGCTTCAGTTTAAAGTGAGATGTGGGCTACATGGGCAACATCTGCGCCAAGGAAGTCGAATATATAGGCCATATTCTATCAGAGAATGGAATGAAGATAGCCCCAGACAAGGTCAGAACTGTCACAGAGATCCCAGAGCTGCAGTCGATAGCCAACGTACAAACACTGCTTGGTATGGTCACATATACGTGCAAGTTCTTGCCGAATCTGTCACGCATTACAGAACCTGCGCCTGCTGATAAAGGAGAGCAATGAGTATGGTTTCAAGTTCCATTTTATGAGGTTCATAAAGAGGCGTTCGAGAAGTTGAAGACTATGATGTCGTCTGCGCTGGTACTCAAGTTTTACAGCACTACTGAGCCAGTTACTGTCTCCTGTGATGCTTCCCAGTCAGGGTTAGGAGCAGTGTTGTTAGAAGATGGGCGTCCAGTAGCCTACGTGTCGAAATCATTGACAACGACAGAGAGGAACTATTCCCAAATAGAGAAAGAAATGTTTGCCATTTGCTTTGGGATGAAGAAATTCCATACATACGTGTTTGGAAGGAATGACGTGACCGTAGAGACAGACCATACGCCGCTCCTCAGAATCTTTGAGAAGTCTTTACAGCAAGTACCACTTCGCCTGCAGAAAATAAGAATGTCACTACAGCACTATGACATAAAGCTAGCAGGCAAGTCAGGAAAATACATTAGAGTAGCAGATTCTCTAAGCAGAGCACTTTTGCCCGATACATACGATGACATGATGAAGGACATGAACTATGCTCCGATCTATGCTACAAAGGTACGAGGTACAATGCGTTCAGTGAGAGACGACAAGAAGAACTGAGGAAAGAGACAGAAAAGGACATAGAACTACAAATGTTGATACAAGTCGTACAGACAGGTTGGCCACAGACCAGAAATGAAGTTCCAGAGGAGCATACTGGGTCTCTCGAGATGAGTTAACCACTGTAGAAGGCATAGTTTTTAGAGGAGATCGTGTAGTGATTCCCAGATCTCTGAGACCATTCTTGTTAAAGGTTGTGCATGAGATCTACCCTCGCATTGTCAAATGCAAACAGCTGGCACGAGATATTATGTACTGGCCCTCTATGAACAGCCAAATAGAAGATCTGGTCAGTAAGTGTGGAGATTGCAAAGAAAACAGACGCAAGCAAACGAAGGAGCAGCTGATGCCAACTGACATTCCTGTTCTCACATGGAAAACAGTTGCAGCAGATCTGCTTCAATGTGACAGTATAAACTTTCTAGTGGTCACAGATTATTTCTCAGATTTTATAGAGGTGGTAGAACTAAAACACAATACCCACAGTCAGACGGTGATAGAAGAATTAGCTCGCCTATTTTCTGTAC